GGATACCCATATTGCCACTTGATACACAATTCAGCTAGGATTCTCCAATAGCAAACATTGTAACCCGGGACTTTTGGCACAATCAGCCCCTATACGCCGCCGACAAATATGGAGGTCTCCCAGCTTTTCCTCTCACTCACGCCTGTCTTGTCCTATGAGAAAGATACGCACATTAGGTACGATGATAAGAGCATCCCTAGAACCTTCGAGCTCCCGCTCGAGCTCCCCAGTACGCCGGTGGACCCCAATGAGGCACTGGTAGAGGAGTTGAAGGGAAGGGTCATGCACATTCCCAACATGCTGGACTACATGGAGGGCTGGCCAGTCAGGGAGCTCAACCAGTACCACGACCGCATAAGGACTCTATTCAACGAGGCCCTAGACCGGTAAGGTGGCCCAAATTTACACCTACCTGTCAATGACTGACACAGTCAAGTGTTATTCCGGACGCAAGACGACGGCAGAAGTTTAAGGACTGCGATTTTGCATACTTTTGTGCACTGTAGGTCACGTTTCCCCTGTCTCTTCTTTGCCGGGTTCTCACTAAGCCTCGGTATCAGCTGGTGGCCTCACGGCGAGTGGGAAGACTTCTACTCCGCTTCCTTCTTCGCGCTATGGATCTTCGTCTGGGATGACACCATCGATGCCAACGATCACGATCTCTCCGAGAATTTCCAGAAGGCTTGTCACTTCCGGAGCCAGACCTTGAAGTACTGCAAGTACTACCTGGGCCTTTCCGAGGACAGCGAGGAGCCTGAGCTTCCCAGTCTTGCCTGTAGCTTGTTCAAGGAGTTCGCAGGAAGAATTGTCGAGAAATTCCAGAAACGTAGGCACCTTGAGTGAATGATACTCGCTGCGAGCCCGCATCTGCTAACGAGCCCTATTCTTAACAGACAGGGTACAGCGAATCTATGACGAGATTGTGCGCTATATCACAGAATGTGAAAACGAACAGGCCGAACGCCTGGCCGGACGGATCCCAACCCTTGACGAGTACATTGAGAACCGTCTGGGTACCGCTGCTGTCTTTATCCTTTGCGGCATCAATGAGTAAGGCTTATACGTTCCATCCAGCTGTCCCTGGTGACGAGCGAGCTAAGACGAGAAATGTAGGCTGTTTATAGAACAAGCACTTCCAGACTGGATGATGGATTCGCCAGAAATGGAAGTCATATGGCGAGAGACCAACTTGGGAATCATCATGTACGTGCTGTTAGTGTCAAACAAGGGTCGAACCGCGGGAACTAACTTGGCGCTTCCAGATCCAACGACGTGCTGTCTCTCAAGAAAGAGATTGTAAGTGCCTGATCAGATATGTGTCGCTCAAGCGCGAAAACTGACAGGACCAGGTTACCGGCTGTTTGCTGAGCCTCGTCCCGGTACTCTACCGCCAGGGCATCGAATGGGATGACATTGTTCCCGAGCTGATGGAGGAGCTGCTCCACGTTTGTAGAAGATTCGATGAAGCTGCCGAAACTCTCGAGGCAGCTGCTGCGGACGACCCGCAGCTCCTGAAGGATCTGAAGACATACCTGGACGTCTGTCGTACGAACAACACGGGTACCTACATTTACACGTAAGTTGGTTGCATCGCATGGTACGTGCCACAGTTCTGCAGGGAAGTAGCTGACGAAAAGGGAAAGCATCGAGTCCAAGAGATACAAGATTGCGGACCTGGTGCGGGAAGACTTGTCTCTGACCGTCGTGCTTTGAGCTCGCCCGTTTGTCCGGGTCACTGGCCTGTGTTGCACAACATATACAGGCGGTGTAACCCAACGTGCCCCACGAGCCAACGTGCTTCGCCAGTTTCATTCCGTACAGGTGTTACTACAGGTGGAATGCTATTTTCAAAGCACGAGTACGGCACATGCAGTGATGGCAGATCCCAGGCGGGTGGCAGCCTATCACTCTATCCCGCACATTGCCATTCATACTGAGCTGTCGGCCGGGAAGGGAAAGGTGTCTGTTGGTCTTCTTCCCACATATCTCCTAGGGCAAGTCTACAGCTCGTCCGCTCCATTTCAGTCGCGGGACTGCGGGCATATAGAGTCTATATAGACATGAATAAGGACCTCGTTTATTGAGCACATGATTATGGGGCTCTGGTGCATCTTGTATAGCGGCAAGCATTTTGCTACGTTGCAAAGCTCCTCGTAGGTGGTTCGAATTGGTTCTACCTATCAATAACAGACGCGGTATTTGTTTCGTACGTCTTGCCTGATATACCGTAATGATGCCAGTCAGTCATAGATTCCGCCGTCATCGGCGGAGTATAAGCACTTTGTAGACATCGGACAGCTGTCGTATAGCCAATCTATTTGATATAGTCAAAATAATAGAAAGAAACAAATAAAAGAGAGAAACAACGATAAAAAGAAAGGATATATGGTATTACTAATATTTCTGGGTCTATAGACCTTGACTCGGGACAAATATTGAGTCAGAGACAAGACTTAGCCTGGTCCCTTATACCTCTAGCATTTGTTTTGTCTTGGATTATAGTCTGCTATACAAACCGGCGTGATAATACTGTCCCACGTGGATCTGGTTTACAGACACGTCCTTAAAGAGTTGCCTCAGGTTCCTTTTACGATGTATTGCAGAGACACGGCAGCCTCGGACACTGACGTCATTGAAGCCTTCGCGCGCGCTTGTGAATCTACACGTGTAGATCGGGCGGGAGCAGTGGAGGATTCGCGCCATCGGGAAGAAGATCAGTGGGGTCACTCGGGGTCAATCTCACTCAAATCTCGGAATTTCGCATTGTATTTGTGACAAGGATCCGTCTCGACTCTTTTGACTCCCTACGATCCCAGCAATAAATCCTTGCGACTTTATTGCTGACTGCAGCAGGGAGACTATAATTTCGAGCAGCCTTTGGATACCCTGGCTAGACTTAACAGCATACCGAAAAGAAAGGAGGCGACACGTCGGAGTAGAGAATAGAGTTTCTGGGTTGCCGTCACAAGCGCTACAGACACAAAGCATATTTCTCGGGCCCTCGATCATCGCGATCGATTACTGGCAGCTGCTGCCATGTCGGTCAATTCTGCGACTTCGGACCCCGCCCAGAAGGTCGCTTCACATGGCACCGCCAGCGTCGGAGGCCACGAGATTGGATACCCTCACGGCCACCTTGGACATCTGAGCGCTGACGAAGAGAACGCCTTTCGGAACTTTAAGCTCTTCCTCCAGGAGAAAGGCCTGTACAACCCGGGCCCTCCGGCTTCGCACGACGACCAGACGCTCATGTAAGTACCGTCGATGTCGCGGCTCTCTTTGGGCTGTCTTTTGCACTCATTGATTGCTGATTCCCTCCGCGCTTCGTTGCAGTCGTTTTCTCCGCGCCCGTCGATGGGTTGTGCAAGATGCATACAAACAGTTCAGCGAGACCGAAGAATGGCGAACAGCAAACCACCTCGACGTACTGTACGACACGATAGATATCGATGCATACGAACAGACACGAAGACTGGTGGGCACACCTGACAGCCAAAGCAAGCTATGATTCAAACTCTGACCCCCATGGCCGTTATAGTACCCCCAATGGACCGGCAGGAGAGACAAGAGGGGCATTCCCCTGTACCTCTTTGAGATCCGACACCTCGACTCCAAGACCGTCTCTACCTACGAGAAGTCGGCAGCCAATTCATTCACGAGCAAGGCCGAGACCGACGGCAACACCCCCCCGAAGCTCCTGCGCCTCTTCGCCCTGTACGAGAATCTCACCAGATTCGCCCAGCCGCTATGCACCAACCTCCCCGATCGACCGCACCTCGAGACCCCAATCACCCTTAGCACGAATATCGTCGACGTCTCAGGCGTCAGCCTGCGCCAGTTCTGGAACTTGAAGGCGCACATGCAGGCCGCCAGCACGCTGGCCACAGCCCACTACCCAGAGACCCTCGACCGCATCTTCATCATCGGCGCGCCCATGTTCTTCAGCACGGTCTGGGGCTGGATCAAGCGCTGGTTCGACCCCATCACCGTCTCCAAGATATTCATCCTGGGCTCGCACGAGGTGAAGTCGACGTTGGAGTCGTTTGTCGACCTGAAGAACATCCCGAAGCAGTACGGCGGCGAGCTAGAGTTCAACTGGGGCGAGATGCCGAATCTTGACCCAATCATTCACGAGACGGTGACGTGGGAGAATGGGCACACCGCCTTTCCCAAGGGGCCCATGTACTGGAGACCCATAGGGGATGGCGAGACGCTAGAATGTGTGGCGATTGGGACGGCCGGCCCCAACCACGAGCCGCGTCTTGAACGGGTGTGCACGATGCCGAGGCTTTTCAAGCCTCTGTCGGAGGAAACACCAGCTCCGGCGGCTGGCGAGGAGGCGGGTGACAAGCCGGCTGTGACGACGGGAGTTGAGACGGCGGATGCGCCTGCTACCTCAACCAATTCGGACGCCACCTCCAGCACGGTCGTTGACGGCGTTCAGAAACTGTCCATCAACGGCGCTTCGGAGAACAACGAACCGGTCGATCTTTCGGAGAAGAGAGCGCAAGATGATGCGCAGGCAGTCCAGACGACTGTTGCATGAATGTTGATAGAGGCACAAGATGGCGTCTCATTTTAGATGTTGATCCATGTTTCTTCTCAGGCGCTCGGCGGGTTTACCTTCTTCACATATACAGACGTTGCTGTTTGGCGATATGCATTGTTGATTCAGGCGCGTTGTAGCTTTCAATACTAGTTGGGGCAAACTGACGCTAGCTCGTGGTCTAATGCCCCCCCCCTTTCTACTATTCTCTAATGATGTTCTAATGCTATTCCAAGTGGTATCGTCTCTATGTCTGAGATGTCGCTAGCTCGTCAGATCTATTTCTCACACCTTGCCATTCCACAGCGCCTTGCAACCACGACAGAAGCAATAGGATATCCCGAAACTCACTCGCAACTCAGTTGCCCGGCGGGGAAAGAAGAAAGAAAACAAACCATGACAAAACAGCGCAAAAAGGATGGTCTTGCCTACATTCAGGCAACATCAGGGATTGAGCCCGATGCGGGGGTCGAACCCGCAACCTTGAGATCGCGCGGCTGCCCGTAAGAGTCTCACGCTCTACCGATTGAGCTAACCGGGCCTTAGAGCTGTTTGTTGTGGATCGCTGTGTCGAGGGGACGGTATCCTGACTCATGTTCGCCTGCGAGTGCGAAGGCCCGCCGGAATAGTTGCCCATGAGGGAATCCTAACTCGCGATAGGAACATGTTTCGCGTTGATGAGCTGTCGCGGCCCCTGGAGCAAACGCCCACAGCGAGTGGAGTCCTGACCAATATTCATCATCTGATCCCCCTCCTAGCCCTCCACTCCCGCACCCCATTCTCAACCTCTCTCCACGAAACCCCGTCGCGGACAAGATACATCGTGACCCCCAACGTCTCAGTATCCCGATTTCGACTCTCGTCGTCAAAGAACAGAATGTCCTCGTACCGCACGCCATTTTTCTTGACCAAGGCCTCCATATGCCGTATCTTGCTGCTGGGATAGATCTCCAGCCCGCCATCAAACAGATCCAGCGCCCGCTTCGGCTTGAATTTGTCCGACTTCTTCTTGCCCTCTTCAGCGTCCTGCTGGCTCGGGGGGCCGACGTACAGGATCTTGAGCATCTCGCGCGCCAGGTCTGGTGCATGCGTGCGGCTTGCCACGCCGACACGGGTCTTTGATGTAAGGCTGAGGGCGTAGAGGATGTGTGGCACGTCGGAGTAGAACTTGAAGGTGTCGCCTGTGCGGTCTGTTGCCGCCGTGGTGTATGACGAGGACGAGACTGCTTTGATGGGTGGTGTCACGTGGGTGTCGACCCAGAAGGGCCAGAGGGTGTAGTCCAGGTCGAAGACGAAGAGGCTTGGGAGGGGGAGGCCATCGGTCAGGATGGTTGGGAGGGATGCGCCAGACGATGTTGTCGACGAGGTTGTGGTGGCGGTTGTTGACACGGAGCCGGTGGTTTTGGATATTTTCTTTGGCATGGTGAGATAATCCTCGTACGCTATGCTGGGGAGGGCTTACGAGGGGCGACGGCTTGCGCAAACCTCGTATGCAGTACGGTGTTGAGGTTTGGACTGAGATGTCGTCGAAATTAGCACGGCTTGGAGCTGACTTCGTCAAAATGTTTGGTTCTGGAAGGAGCTGAGACGAGCGAGGCGCTCAAAGGAAGTTGCCCCGCTGACGTCGTCTTGCGCCCCTGGTCGTGCCTACCGCATCAGCTACCATAATAGGACGTTCGAACCACATCTGGCTGTGCAAAATGGCGGGGTCATTGTGGCGTCAAGACGTCCTGCCGCAGGATTGCCCAGGGTACCTTCGGTCAGGTACTGTACCTTAGCTTCCCCAGATTTTCTTCCGGACTCCGAAATCTCAGGTACAGGTGCAGTGTAATCCGACGACAATGCTGTTCGACGCTGGAAATAGACCTCCGACCCCTTGAATGGCCGACACACCTATGAGAGCTGGTAGTCCTTAGTACAGAAATCTAGCTCTTCGGATTTCACCTCCCGCTGCTGCTAAACAGTGCGAATCTGCTGCTGACTGTCAGGGCTTACAATATCCCCTGGGACGATGCCCTGCCGTGGTGCCGTCCTCACCTCAGCCAGGATTCAACCGGGCAAATGGCAATCAACCCGCAATTAGACCGACGGTCACAAACAAAGGGGCAAGATTGCTACAAGTGTAAATGCCGCTACCTGAATCAGGCGTTATTTCTAACTGCCGTCCCTACTCCTTGACGGGTCATTACCCCGATTTACCCCACCGGATTCCCCGCGCATCTGGGTCCCTTGGGGACAATCGACGGCCTCCAAGGTATTTCTTGGCATCTCACGTTGTCGGAGTCTGATAAAGGCCCGGAAGACTACCCGTCTTCGAAGACTGCGGCCGTCGCTTTTTCTACTCTCGGCCTCCTCTTGTGGTGCTTCTCGAGTATAACCTCTTCTGTCCTCCCAAAGGTCACAGGCAGCTGATTGATCAATCAAGTAATCTTTCCCTATTCAATTCCACTCACAGTACCCCATTAACGTCGTTCATAGCGAGAACCCCCTTTGCAGATATAGCAGCCATGACGGTCGAAGACCACACCATCACCCCGGTCTTCTTCACCCCACCGGCGAAGAAGATTCAGCTCGTACGCATAGCACATGTGTACTACAAGCACGCCGATATCGACAAGGCAAAGGAGTTCATGGACGATTTCGGCTTCTATGCAGCAAAACAAGTAGGAGAGCGCCTGTACTACCGCGGATATGGCACCGAGCCGTTCGTCATCTGCATAGAGAAGGCCGACAAGAACGAGTTCGGCGGTGCTGCCTTTGTTGTGGAGTCTGAGGAGGACCTTCACAATGCTGCCAAGATCCTCCCAGCAGAGACCAAGCCAACGGAGGTCTACGAGTTGAAGGATGCCCCGGGCGGCGGCAAGTGTGTGACATTCTATGATCCGGTGGATGGATTTCCATTCCACCTCGTCTACGGACAGACCCCGGTCGAGCGCATGGATCCGCACTTCCCTGAGGTCAAGATCAACTTCGTAAGTGGCGTCCTTACTCTGTTCCATGAGGGAACTGCACCAACCCGGCGAGACATGAACACGCTTGTAGACAATTCGATACTTACTATGAGTAGCCCACAGTGAAGGAACGCCCCAAGAACACTTTCCGCCGCTTCGAGAAGAGACCAGCACCAGTCCATAAGCTCGGGCATTTCGGCATGTGTGTTACGAACTATGCCAAATGCTACGAATTTTACAGCACATTCTTCAACTTCTATCCCAGCGAGGTGAGAATTACGTCATACCACTATCACAGATTAAGCATTACAGCTGACACGGGTGATAGCTGGTTCATAATGACAAGGGCGTGGACGTAACCGTTTTCTTCAGACTCAATCGCGGGGAGGAGCTCGTGGACCACCACTGCTTTTTCTTCTTCGAAGGGCCAAGGGCGCCTCACGTACATCACTCATCGTTTGAGACGCACGACTACGACGCACAGGTGCTGGGCCACGACTGGCTCCGGCATAAGGGCTGGGAGAACTGCTGGGGTGTCGGAAGGCATATCATGGGCAGCCAGATCTTCGACTATTGGTCAGTTACATGTGACTTGTGAGAGTTGCTGGTTCTGCTAGTCAGATTGCTAATGCGCAACAGGTTTGATCCCGCGGGATTCATCCTCGAGCACTACGTTGACGGAGATTTGCTGGACATGAGCGAGCCGATCCACAAGAACCCGGCCTCGCCTGACAATCTGCATGTGTGGGGTGAGTTGGTCTACTTTGGTATCTATGTTTTGAAGTGTACTGGAAACTGACAAACCTCTAGGTCCTGACCTCCCGCCAACTTTCCTGACATAGATTTGTCCATGTTCGGTAGTACCAAGGCGTAAAGAGATGTGATAAGCTGACATGAGCACATGACTTTGGAAAAAAGCAAAATGTATAACAGAAATCGTGAACGAGTATAACGATTGTATGGTTCAATGTTACATTAAAGTCCTCTTGGTGTGTCCAACCTTTGAGCCAGCACCCTTTTGAATATGCGGTCAGATACGGCGGCATAGCCATCGTAACCCCGGCTCTATGGACCTGTATGAGCTATGCGTCCATGACTTGGTAACAAACTTTATTTCACTTGCGTGGAATAGCTGCTGGCATCCACAGCCATAGCGTTACTAGGACTGGCCAATGCTGTCGTGGAATACAGGCTGTCCCATCGTTGCCACTTCGGTTCGAATACTGTCGTTTCGTGATTCAGTCCCTATGGCTTTGTCATAGATATAGTGTACATATTGTGGTATCACTGTTGACCTTGTATGCCATACGGAGCTGACACAAAGTCTGAAGTTCATGCCCGCATAGATCAGCAAACGATGTTATTATGACAGCAAAGGACGAGATTGATATCGCCAAATCGATGATAGGCGTTCAATTGATCAGCCCATTTGCCAATCAGCCGATGCTTCGTTCTATCGGTAAATCATCAAATTGAGGAGCCTATTCACCCGTCTCTTACACGTTCACGTACATTCGTCATACTCAGCTTACTCCTCCCTCATCAGCTCATCAGCCAATTCACGCATAAGCAGGATCCATCGATCCTTGGTCTCCTTCTCCGACTTCTTGAGCGTGTTGTTCTTCCTCAGTCCAAAGCGGTTCCAGACTAGGATATACTTGTGCTCGCTGGCCTTGTCCAGCCCAATCCGCTGCAGGGCCTCCTTCATCCGCTCGTGCTTCTTCAGCGCCAGATACTCCTGGAAATACTGAGCCTCCTCTTTCTGGTTGCCGTCCGCCTTAACCACGCCGCCGAGTTGCACACAGTACAACACGATAGCGGCTAGGCCCGACGCGAGCGCCGTGGCCACGGAGGAGCCCGTCAGAGGTGTGAATTTGGTGACGTTTCGGTCGTCGTGGCGCTCCAGGACGACTTGGTGACCGGGCATGATGAAGTCGACGGCCGACTGGTCGCCTACCCACTTGTATGCCGCACCTGAGGCTTCGGCGGCGCCGATCTTGAAGATCTTCTTGGTTCCGCTCGCGGCTGGGTAGGTTCTGTCCCTGTAGGCGCCCTGGTCTGTTGCCGCACAAAACATCAAGATGTCCTTGCTTGCAGCCAGTTCAATGGCTTTTTCTAGCTCGTCGATGTCCGACTTGTTGAGTTCCGTCCGCTCAATTGTCCAAGACATTGAGATGATATCGACGCCTTTGTCAATGGCGGCGCGGACGGCCTGCGAGCTTGTCAGATACCGCTGTGTATGAGCTCTAGTGTCAAATATACAGGTGACTCACCTTAGCCGCACTCTTAGCTGTGATGGTTCGGCCGCCCGATGCGTCCAGTTTGTCGTCCAGTTTCAGCACAAATAGCTTCACGTTGGGGCATAGCTTGCAAATCAAGCCCGCCATGGCTGTGCCATGGCCGCCGCTCGACACGTAGTACGGCTGGTTTAGGTTCTGATCTTCGTTGCGATGACAGAAACTCCGTCCACCAATGACGCGTGACTGAACGCTCGCCTCATTAATATCGACTCCGTCGTCGACAACCGCCACCAACACAGGCCGCGGAAGTGTGTAGGGTGGATCCGCATTTCTCTCGGCTGTCAACAGGA